TCTACCAGCTTCAACTTACAAAGCGTGCTGAGGCTTGCCAGTGACTTGAGACTTGTGCGAGACTGTAATAGGCTGCCACGCTGCCAGTCGCTTGAGCCACCCGTGTGCCCATCACATCCCTCCTTGCATGGGTCACTTGAACCAGTCTCCCCATGCCTCGCCTTCAGACGAGTCGCCTGACGACTGCTCCTGATGCAACAACTTGGTAACTGGCTCGGGAAAGTCGACCAGCACTTCCAAGGCTAACTCTGGCTTGAGCGCACTTGCTAGAATATCATTATGCAACAAGCTAGCAACAACTCGGATATCTTGGAGCCCCTCCTTGAAAACGCAGTGGTCTCGAACAGCTCTGGGCAATCGCTGGGGCTGTCCAGTGTGTCCTGGAACTCTTGGAAGTCTCAGTCCTGAACACTTCGCCTGAAACCTTTGACTTCATTATTTGGACACCTAAGAGGTTCAGTATAATATACACGCCGGTCGTTGAAAGTATGTATTTTGGGACTCCCAGGTCTCAATCTACTTCAAGCGCCTTCCTACTTCAAGAATCGGCATGCGTTTGCTGTGTTTTGTTATTCTCTGGGAGGACCTGAACCCAATCTACTATATCCGCCTTTTCTACTTCATGTTTCGACGTGTACCCACGTGTGAGCCTTATTCCTAGTACACTTGGCCTCAGTTGGGATTTTGAGGCCCTGGGATGGGTGGGCCCTGGGGTACTTGCTGGGCTTGATAGGGGCGTTGTTTGTTGCTTGTTGTTTTCTCCAAGTCCCGAGCTAACGTGAAGTAGATGCGGTCCCGGATGGTATTCGAGTGCTGTTCGGACAGATGTTGGCGGGCATCTTCGAGCAGGCGCATGGCGCATACCACTACAGCGGCAGTTTGGTACAAATTTACTGCGGGATGCTGGGGGCCCACAGAAGCATGCGTCGACAGATTCTGAAGCCGCAGGAGCGCCGGGATTGTAAAGCTGCTCTGCGCAGCAATGTGGACTAACACAGGGAGGTGGGGCGAAGAGAGGATATGAGCCCATCGCGCGAGGTTGCCTCGGCCAAGGAGCTAGACCTCGGCTGGTCACAAAGCCGTCTAAAGCACACCGCGTCTTCTTGGTTAGAAGAGTAACGGGGGGGGAGCGATCAAAGTCATAGTCGCCCTCGTGGAAGTTCTGACTCGTGCAAATTGGCAGTGGTGAGGTGAAACTCTCCAGCCACCAAGAGAGGGTGGGCCAAGGTTTCCTGGAGCTGGCCTGTCTCCGACACAAGCTTCAAATGGTTCTCAGAGAGGCCTGCAGCAGCTTGAAAGTAGACACCGCGCAAGCCAAACTTGGGCACTCGAGGGGCCTCGAGCAGAACCCCAGAAAGCCTGGACAGGTCGGTTCTACTGGGGGTTTCCATAGGCTGGGCTCCGAGGTCCAAGCCGTGGCGAACCAAAATCACAGCCCCGTAGACAAGCTCCACAGTGGGTTTGATGGCGGCAGGGGCGTCGCGCGCGAGCCACCCCTGGGCGGGGCACCGCTGCATTCGACGAGCATTGCTGCCTCCTGCTGCCAGCCTGCACTCCTGCAGGCAAGAGAGGCGCAGACTTTGCGCGCTGGGGCTGCAGCGAGAGACTTCACTAAACGCCAACCAGAAACGTTGATGGTGGCGAGCGCGCAGTGAGGGTTACCCGGGCGACTGGCCCGCCTGCGCCGTCGCCGCGACGGCGGTTGCCTTCTCCCCCTTTGACGCCGGGTTTTTTTTGTCAGGATTTCGGCGATATTTTACGATTAAGTCGAGCATGTTGCTCTACAGGAGGAGTCTTCGAACATAGTCAATGAAAAGTACGGGGGCGATGTTTATATTCTTTTTGTTTATGTTAGAACAGTTGTATATATATATATATATATATATATATATATATATATATATACGTGCATAAGCATAAAGAAACAATGTTCATGTTTCTTCCACAATCCGCTTGTAGAAGGACATGCCCGACTCAACTCTCCGACCGCAACAAGCGCTTGCGCTGCGCGGGTGAGGCTCTTGGTGGCGTCCTTGGGGGCGTCTTCGGCGCCGGGCTGCTGATCTGGATCATCCGGAGCAGGGATCGCGGCAGGCGGCTCCGGAGGTGGGGGAGTGGTGTTGGGCCCTTTCATGTCGGGGGTGAACAGAACCCCTAACAGTGACACGTCGATTAGTGAATTGTCCGTTTTCGGTTCTCGAGAGGGCGCCGTGGCCGCTATTTTCCAGGCTTGCGCCCGCCAGGTTTGGGCCCGAGATCGTTTTCACTAAACCACGTTTTACTAAAGGGAGGTCTGTCCATCCCCGATCATGATGATGCACACTTGGTGGTTGCACAGCACCTTCTGCCAAGGCGCCCGCCCCGGTTGCATGGGCTGGCGCCCGCAGCCCACCACTGGACATGACGTGCCCCCTCGCGCTGGAACTGCCTGGCCCACCCGCGCTGGACATATCTTGCCCACCCACGACAGCTGAGTGGATCTTCTGCATGGTTTCTACATCTCGGTGAGTCTCGTGACCTTTGTGCACAGTTCCTGTGGGTCGGTCTTGCCAGGCGGCATCCTGGCTGCCAGAAGTCCCGGAATGGCAACGAGTAGGTGCGATCTAGATCTTGCACGGCGGCCTGTTTCGCCATGTTGAGTTGTGAACCCAGCGGTTCTACTCGGTGAGCGGTGTCCTCGATCTTTGCCACCAAGTTGCTATGCTTCTCGCTGGCGGCCACCATGTATTCCATGATGTATGTGGCCTTGCGTTGCTGCTTGTCGAGCTTCTGGCCTTACACGCTGAGCTGATCCGAAAACGACTGGGCCTGCTGCCCGAGGTTCTTGGTGCAGATCAGCTGCGATCTGGCCTGCTCGAGTTTGCCTGAAGTCGGGCATGTCCCCCTACAGGAAGATGATCCAAACATACTCAACAACTAATAGGGACGATTTTTCGATTATGTTTGGGTAATGTAGTGTTTTGGGTATCTTTCTTCCACAATTCGCCTGTAGGAGGGCACGCCCCGACAAAGCTTGTCCTGTGAAGCCTGGTGCTCCGCTTCATTCGGGTTCCACTTCTTCCAAAACGTGACCTGCGCCTGAGCAAAACCCACTGGATCATCAGCGGGTGCTGGCACCTCGTCCTCGAATGATGTTGCGCGTTGGTGGAGACTTGGGGGCGATCTGGTCCACGGGATGACTCGCGTCTCCAACGGCTAGTCTTGGGGACGGTGGGCGCTTCATCATGCTGGCTCGTTTCTCTGGTACTGCTTCCTCAAGCAACCCCACCTGGTGTAATCTGCGTATCTGCTGCACTGTTGCTTCCCATTTTGAATCAGACACCGCAATGCACGCAGTGCTTCTCAGCAGGAGAACACCTAGCCCAGCCATTGCAACTGCACCTGGAGCAGACCACGGACGGTTGTTTCTGCGAAATTTCTTGCTCCGAACCCTGCGCTGACGCTCACACAAGAGGTGGGCCGAGGATGTAATGGTGAGCTTCGTACTTGCAGCCTACCCTGGGGCTGACCAGGGGAGACAGGCGACCGGGCTGAGAGGGGAACTGGGTGCACGCACCACGGACCCTCCCTTGGGCCAGCACGGCTTGAGCGAGGAGGAGGAGCAGGAGTGAGGAGGAGCAGGAGTGAGGAGGAGCAGGAGTAGGAACAAAAGGAGGAGGGAGGAGGAGGAGGAGGAGGAGGAGGAGAAAGAGGGAGGAGGAGGAGGAGGAGGAGGTGGAGGAGGAGGAGGAGGAGGAGGAGGAGGAGGAAGGAGAAGGAGGGAGGCGGAGGGGCGCCCCGATGCTGCTGCTGGATCTTCACCCTGCACCATCCAGTTGCATAGCCTGGGGCGAGCCCCTGAGCGCCAGCCTGAAGCGGCGCAGACAAGTGGTAGGAGCCCAAACGACAGTTGCTTGGCGCCTCAGTGGAGGAGGGGATGGATGAGGACAACGATGAGGACGGTGAGGAGTAGAAGAAGCACCAGGAAGAAGATGAGAAGCATGAGGAGGAGAGAGAGGGGCGGTGATGAAGAGGAGGAAGAGGAGGAGAGGGAGGGGAGGCCGCGTCAGGATGATTCAGTGACCATCATCAGTGTATCAACAGGACGAAGAGCATGAAAAGGAGGAGACGATGATACTGATGGTGCGGATGATGCTGATACTGGTGATGATGCTGATGGTGGTGATGGTGGTAGTGATGGTGATGATGACGATGATACTGTGGTTGCTGATGATAATAATGATGGTGCTGATGATGTTGGTTGTGATGGTGATAAATCTGATTGTGATGCTGGTTATGTGGATGCTGAAGGTGAGATGATGCTGTTGATGCTGATGTTGATGAGGCTGATGGTTATGAAGCTAATGACGGCGACGATGATAATTCTGATCACGGTATTGATCATGATGATGTCGATGATGATGATGATGATGCTCATCATGATGGTGATTATGTTGATGACGATGATTTTGATTATACGGCTGTTGGTAATGACGGCGTTGGTGGTTACTATGATGATGATGATGATGGTGATGATTGTGCAGGTGATGGTGATAATGACGGCACTTGTGATGATGATGACGATGCTGATGAGGATGACGATGGCGATGATGATGACTATGATTATGATAGTGATGCTGATAACGATGATGATGTTGGTGATGCTGATGCTGATGCAGATGAGGATGTTGGCCACGGTCATGGCCATGCTTGTGATGGGAAGCCTGATGATGTCGACGCTGATGGTGATGATGGTGATGTTTTTGAGAAGAATGGTGAAGATGATGCTGATGATGATAATGATGAGGATGCGGATGATTATGAGGATGCTGATGATGATGATGACGATGACGATGACGATGATAATGCATGATAGGGAGTAGGACGAGGAGGAGGAGGAGGAGGAGGTGGTGGAGAAGTAGCAGATGTCGACGCCGTCGTGGCCGGCGTGGCGGACGTCATGGTCGTAGGCGGGCTGGACGACGACGTTGTCGTCGTCGTGGTCGTCGTCGCCTGCGGAGGGCGCTCCTGCTGGCCAACCTGCACGTCTTCAGCGCGTCGCCCCGCCTGCATGCCGCCCCCCAATCGTGGCCGCGCAGCTCCCGCTCCCGCTGCGGCGGGGGGGGGGGAAGTGGAGGCAGGGAAGGAGGGACAGAGGAGGGCCCCTCCCCTCCTCTTCCCCTTCTAGGGCAGGAGCCGCCCTGGCACAAGCCGCCCGTGACCCCCCTTCATTTCACATGCACACACACGCGCCACATCTTTGTGTGCAGGCGCCGCAGGGCAGAGCAGCGGGAGCGGTGCCACTGTGGCGGAAGGCGAGGATGTTCAGATACACACACGCACACCCACGCATTCCCTTCACTTTCCGTTTATTGAAGGTACTGTGTTTATCCATTGTGTGCAGTGGGCAGATTCTTCGAGATTGGAAGCACTTTGTCTACAGACAGAGAGCGTGAACCTCTTCTTCTCGGATGGACCAGGACGTACGGCCGGAGACGGAGAAGTTACTACATGTCCATTCGTCCACCGTCTGTGTCTTCAATTTGGATGGGTTCGATCGCGCGGCACCAACAGTTCATGCCGACTCGCCATACTGTTCGGCAAAAGATTGGGGGGAACTTTGGTGAGAGGATCCACCCCACCACAAGGCTTGGGGATCACTGGCCCGGTAGAGATGGCGCAGTTTACGACAGGCAGCACAAGCACAGCAGCATTTCCCGTAAATGTCCCTCCCGCGGGGGTTGGTCGCCCACACGTTGCAGAACATCACGAACCGAGTTTTGGATAGGGCAGAAGTGGAAGTGGACACATTCGGACATGCATGTTTAACGAGTTTGGCAGGCGATGTCGCTTGTGGGTTTGCGGGCAGAGTAACGTAACGGACAGAAGGTTTCAGAGGGCCGCGGATCATGTAGGAGTATGAGGGCAGGCGTTGGAGAGGGCGCTGCGGGCGCGCCCGAACCAGAGGGAGGCAGCGGTCCCGCTAAGGGCGGCCCCCCCTAGGAAAATCTCGAAAAGTGCCTGATCCTCGAGACCTGCTCTGCGTGCGAGCAGCTCCGGCAGCGGTCGGTTCAGCGAGGCGCACCTCGGGGCTGGCCGCTTGCGTCCAGCGCGCGGCCGCGCCGCTTGAAGCCAAGCCTTCTGCGTCAGACTCGATCCGACGCGCACTGCCCTCGCGGTCTGCCTTGACCTGCCCGGCTGCCCGCGCAGTGACCCAGCTCGAAGCCTCCGTCACCGGGCTACAGTCGGGGCCCTGAAGAAGGAACCCTTTTCGTTGGGAAGGGGCTCCGCGTTCCTTAAGTGTTTCACAGCTTGCCTCAGGCTTTCCTTATGTTTTCGATAGGAAATCGAAGTTTAACTTATGGAAAAAAGGGGCCTCGTTCCTTATTTAGGGTTCCTTAGGTCAACGCCCCGACTGTAGGCAAGCAACGCTCCTTGTGAAATGCAGAGCGTGAATTACCTACCCCGCTTTCGCTTCCAGGCAAAACCAAGTCATACCACACGCCTCCTCGGCAGGCGGCCTGACCAGTACAGGCTGCAGTTTGGCATCGCTTGGTATCTCTTGGAAGCGAGGGTGGTCAAAAGCGAGGTGGTCAAAAGCGAGGGTGGTCAGAAGCGAGGCTACAGTCGGGGCCCTGAAGAAGGAACCCTTTTCGTTGGGGAGGGGCTCCGTGTTCCTTGATTGCTTCACAGTTTGCCTTGGGTTTTGCTTTGGTTTTCGATGGGAAATCGAAATCCAGCTTGTGGATCTAAGGGGCCTCGTTCCTTATTTAGGGTTCCTTGGGTCAACGCCCCGACTGTAGGCAAGCAACGCTCCTCTCATGCTCCTCTGCCTCACGCGTCCCTCCCTCCCCTCCTTCGGCCCTCCCCCCCCCCGCGGTGCCAAGGAATCTGGTGAGCGCACACGTGGGAAATACGCATGCAATTTGTGTGTACGTTCGTGTGCTGCCGCCCTGACTGCGCGGTGGCAAGTCGATCGTGGTCGCCTGTCCGCGAGCGTTTGCGAGCACGCCCTGCGTTCGAACTTCTGGACTGTCTTCAGGATGGTTGCCGTTCTCACCTGGACAGGAGGGTGAGTTTGCGACACCCGTCTTCGCAACCCCGATGTCCGATGCATCCGGATGAACATCCGAAGACGGTTAGGTGGTTGGGGACCCTCGGACCCCAAGGCGACGGATTTCGCCCGCGCCCCGCGACTCGCAGCTGACGTCCCAAACAGTGTGGGGGTTCGTCTACGGTTGTTGTTGGCATAACTTAGTCTGGTGGGGATGTCTGCAAGACGTCTTCGAACGCATGTCGCATGTGTGCGTGTGTGCCAAATCATGTGTATATGCGGTCTAAGCGGGTCGGCGTGTGTGCGCAGAGGACGTGCGAGCTGTGATAGCATGTGCACCCATAAGAGCGAGTGTTCCTTCTCGTATGCGTGCGCATTCGTGGGTTCGTGTCAGTAGCCGTTGGTTCAAGCGTGTGTCTCTGTTTTGTCGCGTGTCTCTCTCTCCCCAGTAGGCCGCAATGTCCCCCGCGAGCCCAGCGATTTTGGTTGTCGTAGCAGCGCTAGGCTCAGCGCACCTCGTAGCCGCATCGCGTCAATCGCATAGCCTCGAGGTTCTGGCGAGAGCACGTGACGTGACTACCATCGCGCAGTCCCGCGCCAACTCCAGCGTTGGTTCTCGGGCCCCTGGATCGCCCCAGACGCTGTTTTTTCTCCGCCACGGGCAGTCCGTCTACAACGCAGCCGGCCCTGACAAACACCTTCCGCTTGTGGGTCGCCAGTATAAGGATGCGCCGTTGACAAAGAGAGGGTTACGCGAGGCGCAGTCCGTGGCCGAGAAGCTCGAGGCGCTGCTCAACGGCACCAGCGCTCCAGGCACGCCAGAGGAGGAGGCTCTGGTTGGTCTCACGGGCCCTGGCGGCTGCGCCTTCGCCTCGCCGCTGACGCGCGCCGTGCAGACGGCACTGGTGGCGCTCGGGCCAATCTTCCGGAGGAGGCCTCAGCTCAAATTGGTTCTTGATCCGAACTTGCGGGAAAGCGTAGATGAACTGCATTGGGATTCCATTGGGGACTCGCACCTGGAAGACATCAAGCGTAAGGCAGTGGCCAAGCTCGAGAAGCTTGGAGAGGATGGAAAAGCCGCAGCAGAGGCAGCAACGTCTGTGGTTGTGGACGCATCGGCAACTTCTGGAGAGTGGTGGAGCACATCCAAGGAGTCACATGCGGATTTGAACGGTCGTATTACAAGTTTCCTTCGTACTGTGCGGACGAGCGGGTGCCCCATTGCCATACTAGCTGGCCACTCCAGCCTGTTCCGAGACACCTTCAGGGATTTCTGGGAGCCTGGCCCCCAGAGTTACGTGCCGGCCTGGTTCCGTGGCACCTCGCAAGAGTGGTTCACTGCGGTACGCACACAGGGGACAAACACGTTGCCAACAAAGGATCTCCAGAGCAGGAAGCTTATGAATCTGGGCCTGGCTGGCATGTCCCTAGAGGGCCCAGCCGATCATCCAGTTCTTAGGCAAGTGCGGCTTATGTTGGACACCCGCATCCAGGAGAAGAAGTACAAGGATGAGGGCGACGAGATCTATACCTATCCACCGCCACTGCCAGGCCCATGCTGGGTCCTGGAGCGGTATCCCCCCTTCCTCTGCTTAGCCAGGGAGGCATATATATATATATATATATATATATATGCATATATATATGTATATATACACACAGATTCTTGACCCAGGATGAGCCTAGCCAGGGCCCATGGATATGCGTAGCTCTCGTCGCCCGAAGGATTGCGCGGATGGAGCGGGTTGGCGTTTGTCGGAGGACGGTGAGGGCAGCCAAAAGGGGCGACCATATTGCGCCTGCCGTTGGGGCTTGGTCTGCTCAAGCCCCAGAGGCGAGTGCCATGAGGATATGGCTGAGTGGCCCTACCCGAAGAATGAGAACGTGTTCCGCAAGCATTGTAAGAGCTGCAGTTGCGAGAGGGTCTGAGATGATCACTATGTAGCGACTTCGGTGTGCCGGTAGTCTGCAGAATGTCGCATGCACCGCATATGCACGTTGTGCGATGTTGGCCTCGTTCTCTTCCATAAATGGCAAACAAGTTAGCGAACGTGGACCACAAGCAGTAGGCGTTTGTTCCCTCGACGTGCAATATGTGCGTTGCAAGCTACGTCATGCGTTCTGTGAATGGTGCAGCATATGTGCTCCAAGCTATGTGGCGCATGATATGTGAAGCCAGCGTTGTGGTTCAAGCTTCCTGGTGCGAGCCGCGCGTTGCTTGCTATGTCATGAGATGTGTATTGTCCCATCTGCGCGGTGCAAGCTACGTAATACAAGCTGCGCGTTGACGGACGTTCGATGCATTTCGTGTCCGATGCCCTAGTTTTGTGACAAGCTCTGCGTTGCAAGCTGTACGGTGCACGTTGTGTGAAGCAAGCTGCGTGATGCAATCTACCGTCGGGGCCCTGAAAAAGGAACCCTTCTCGTTGGGGAGGGGCTCCGTGTTCCTCAAGTGTTTCACAGCTTGCCTCGGGTTTTCCGCATGCCTTCGACGGGAAATCGGAGTTGAACTGATGGACAAAAGGGGCCTCGTTCCTTATTTAGGGTTTCTCTTAGGTCAACGCCCCGACTGTATGTGATTCAGGCTGTGCGGTGCGAGAGCCACGGCATGCACCCAGCGCTCGGGGGGTGCCCCGGGTGCGCCCGCGGGCGACCCCTGGGCGGGCACCGGGCAGAACCCCAGGAACACCCGCGGGTGCCCACGAGGCGCACGCGGGCGGCCACCAGCCGGGCCCCCCCCCCCGGTTTTCTGGAGGGGCGGGGTGGGGTTCGAACCGCCGGTAGTGACCCCCCCCCCCTCGGGTTTCGAGGGGTGGGTGGGGGGCTTCGAACCGATAGTGACCCTCCGCGGTTTTCCGAAGGGGGGGGGGTTCGAGCCGGTAGTGACCCCCCTCGGTTTTCGAGGGGGAGGGGGGGTTCGAACTGGTAGTGACCCCCTCCCGGTTTTCCGGACGGGGCCAGGCGAAACCCAGGCACACCCACCCAGCGCATGTAAAACGACGCGAAGATCGGGACAAAATCGGATCGGGATAACTCGAAATCTCTGAGAATCGGCGGGTTTGGAGGATGTATTGGGCGCCGCGGCCGCTCCAGAGCGTTCGGGGACGCTCTGAGAGCGCTCCGGAACGCTCTGGAGCGATTTATCCCGATCCTAGCCCTGTTTCAGCATGTGATGAGGCGCCCATGGGCGGCCACCAACCTGGCGCCAGGCAAAATTCTGACACGCCCATCCAATGTCTTAGGTAGCAGAAGTAACAGCCCTTACAGTGGGTGGACTAAGAGTGTCCACACGTGTCTCGCCGAGATCTTGAATTATCAAAGCACTTCAGACCAGAATGTATATCCGCCTGTGGGCGGTAGGCCACAGGCCAGGGACAAATTGTGGATATTTCAATTTTGGTTTCGGGGGGGAGGGGTGCAAAGCAATGTCATTTCGCAGTTGTGGTGGTCATCATGATGCACCGTTTTACCGCCATGGGTGTGGACACTTTTTGTTCGGGCACCGTAGTGCAAGCACTATGTTGGGAATGCGCCATTGCATCCTCAGGTCTGTTGCTTCCTGAGCTCACGAAGAAAAACGCTGGCTCATAAAATCACATGCCCCACACCACTATCGAAGCAGGAAGCGTCACAGGAAAAGCAGAGACCCCCGCCTAATAAGGTTTCGGGCTGCGCATAGACAGCCCCCCAGGTAGCCCCGGCTGGCCTCAGCAGGCCCCTCGAGTAGCCCGGGGCGGTTCCAACACCCCAACCTTGGGGCTTGGAGCGCCCCAGGGGTGCCATCGGAGGCGGCACTTGAGCGTCGTGCCGCAACCCGAAGCCTTACAACCACCGCCTCCGAGAACTCATTGGGGGAGGCACGCCTCCTCCTCCCCCTTCTCCCTCCTCCCTCCTCCTCCCTCCTCCCTCCTCCTCCTCCTCCTCCTCCTCCTCCTCCTCCCTCCTCCTCCTCCTCCTCCTCCTCTCCTCCTCCTCTCCTCCTCCTCCTCCTCCTCCTCCTCCTCCTCCTCCTCCTCCTCCTCCTCCTCCTCCTCCTCCTCCTCTCCCTCCTCCTCCTCCTCCTCCTCCTCCTCCTCCTCCTCTCCTCCTCCTCCTCCTCCTCCTCCTCCTCCTCCTCCTCCTCCTCCTCCTGAAAGCGAGGGCGGCGCGACGCCCGACCGTGCGCCGCAGCGGCAGGGGGGGGGCCACTTGCTGTAGGCGGCGGGCGATGGCACGCCCGAGCGTCATCCAGTACTGGACGACGCTCAGGCGTGCAACCGCCCAGGGATGGGTCCCCCCCGATGCTCGGGCCGGGCGAAAGGGGGGGAATTGGGAAAGGGGGGGTTACGAAATTTGCTGCATGCAGCTGGTTTCGGCCTCACCGAGGGGCCCAGTCCTCGATACATGGCCGCCTCCGGCGCCGAGGCGCCGGGAAAATCAGCTACGTGAGCTGATTCTCACCCCCCCCCTTTGCTATCCCCCCCTTTCGCCCGACCCGAGACGGGTTCTCGGTGCCGGTGTGGTCGCTGTTTCTCTCTTGAGGACGGGCGTGCACATACATTGTCGGAGGTCCGCGCAGATCTCTTGGGTCGGCGACGGACCCCTCCAGCAGCGCCCCTGGTGCGGTCCCTGGCGCGCTCCGCGCGCCCGGGAGGGGGGTCCATTTCCGACGCAAGACATACGCGCCTACCTTTGACAGTGTCTGCTTCCACCTGCGGGGTCTTGAGGTCTTTCGCCGCCCTCGGCCTCTCTCGTGCTTTGGGACCGTCCAAGAAGGTATTCCCCGGAAAGCCCCAGGGCGCGGTGTGCAAGATGCATCTTCCGCACGTCCTTCGTGTCTCTCTCTCTCTCTCCATTTCCCGCCAGTCGCTGCCGCCGTCTCCTCTCCCAGAGATCCGACGCTCCAGCAAAAATTGGAGCGGGCGATGTTTTGCTGTTTTCGGCCCCTGGGGGCCCTCGCCATGCCTCGGGACCGTCAACAAAACGACTCAGGACGAAAAACGGGCCCTATTGAAGTGGTCCAGACCTCGGGGGCCCATGCGCCGAAAAAGTTGAAGCTGGATGTTTGGGTTTCATCGTCTCTCATGGCTTGGGGCTGCATGGTTAATTTTGACGCGAGTGCCCCCCCACCCCAGCACACACACACACAAGAAAACGGCCAGCTCGGAGAGCGGCATTCGCTGGCTGCCACCTACATTCCCACAAGTCCCTTCTCCAACGATGCTGGTCTTGCCATCGACAACAACACTCCTTATCGATTGGCACGTCTCTCTCTAATCGAACTCAGGCGGAAACGGCTATCGTTGCCCGTCCCAACGCTATCAGTGCTGATTGTGCTCGTCTTTGTGTCGCGGCCGGCACTGCGCGCGCTTTCGAATTTGATTGTTGGAGGTTCTGAATTCCCATGATGGGTGTCGTTATCGTCCCCATCATGTGGTGGAGGAAGCAGCAGAAATACTTCTCCTCGGAGGCCAACGAGTTCAGCAGC